TCACGATAGAAAAAGAACACAACCTTATTTCGAAAATTTACAAGAAACCCGCTGTATTCAATAATTATTGTTTTTTTTTATATAATTTGAATGAAATAGAACACGTATTAATACCTACACGATATACAATTTTCAAATGGCTAATACAATAGTATAGACTCTTAAGTTTAGGTCGTCAGGGTTTTAGGGTTCTCGTACACGTAAACTTTAAAATAAGTCGTAACTTAAAAGTTAGTGTTTAATGTATTCACTAATGAATAAAATTCATGATTTGACCTATGAGTTTTATTGTACAGGATCAACAACAAGTTACAATTGATACTTAAGGTTTAAATTCAACTCCATGCTACTTACGATAAGGATGGTTCAAAGTCTAGAGTGTCAAGCTATATTTAGAGTGTTTTTTTTAATGGTACAATATGGGGAAATCCGAAACCATAGAAGATACAAGGAAACTGTCTTAGGAACCATTAACTTATTTTGCGAAAACAAAGGCATGATCAAATTTAATTTAAAAAATCATACAAAATGAATAAAATTTTGTTAAATTTGACCAACTTCTGCTGTCCCAGTTAGTTTCTACCAATACAGAACAATCATTATTAAAAAAGACTGAGTCTATCAGCATTAAAAAAGTTAGTCAATTTTATTAATTTTGTACGAAAAATATTTTACGAAATTTGACTAACTTCGGCTGTCCCGATTTTTTTCGTTCTACAATGAACCCTTGATGAAACTGAGACGATTAGCATTAAAAAAAATGTTTCATCAATTTTATTCATTTTTATGGCAAGTCACCCTTGACCAAAAAATTGACTATGCCAAAATTGTTTTCACAAAAGACTTAATAGTTCCTAAGACAGTTTCCTTCCATCTTCTACGGTTTCGGATTTCCCCATACTGTCCCATTAAAAAAAATCACTGTATGCTTTGGCTGTGCGTATAAGAATATAATTATTAATTAATTGTCAATATTAATGTTTAGCTTGGCAGACAGGGTTTTTGCTCGTATACATTTAAATGACATTATTAATTCATTTTTGATAGTAGAGGACAATTTTTGATTAAACCAAAATCTCTTAAACGCGTGAAAGCCACAGCAGAAATTAATATTGCTCTGTGAAATAAATAATGATCTATGAAATTGTACAGTCAATAGCATATCTTGCTTGACACTTTGGACTTCGAATCATACGTATCGTAAGCGGCGTAGAGATGAATTTAAATCTTAAGTGTCAAGCTTGTCGTGCTCTTGGCCCTGTATCGAACGACCAGCGTAATCGAACATAGCGTCCTTTTTTTACGATCCGGATTCTCAAGAATCAGGCTTTAAAAATTGTAAACAAAATTTTCTGAAGTTTTCATTAAAAAAATGTATCAGTTCTTTATCGCTTTAAAAATGTTTGATTTTTGAAGTCGTAAAACAAAGGTAGTTTTTTAATGATATGAACCCGTTGCAACTACATAACTAAAAACTACACTTAAACGTATGCATCAGGGTGTAAAAAATACTTATTCCTTTAAGGGATTACGAATATTGATTGTACCAGGGGGTAAGTGTTAGTCGAAAACTGATTATAGGTTTGACAAGAAAAGTCCAAATATATGCACTCAGAAAATAGTACCTATATTTTGATGTTTAACGAAGTGTCAGTTAATCCAAGGCTTGCCTAGTCTTTCGGCGAAGGGACTTATACATTGATATTTGAGTAGGGATAGTATTTTTTAATAGAACAAAATATGTTCATCTATACGGGTACACTACCTGAAATTTGTGATATTAGATAATATCAAATAATGTCCGTAGTGCGCCTAATCTACAAATTATACTCTGTTAAATTTAGTTCTTACTTACATGTTTTTGTGCTATTTCATTTAATGTAAGAAAACGCATAACGCGTTTTCATGCACCAGAGCAAATATAAATTTACAATTATGGTTTAAAATTCATCTCTAGGTATATCTCTTTCAATAAGAACGGTCAAAAGTCTAAAGTGTCAAGCTTGATGTGCTCTTGATCGACTTTATTATTATTGGTACTTATAATTAAAGATCGTGTCCTCAATGCCAAGCTGCGTTCCGATACGCAAATTGCAAACAAAAGGTTTATAATAGCGTAGCTTTAATGAGATTGGGCATCAGGCGGATGAACTCGCGGAATTTGTACAATATCGCCTCGTGGCAGACTTCGAAAAAGATAACGTGATGATTTGAAAAAACCTACATTCTGAATTGACAGTTGGATTAAAAGTAAGTAAAAGGAATTTTTTTCACTGATTTTTATAATCGACTATAATGAGAAACTCGGCTTTAACAAATTGTATCAATAAATAATAAATTTGATCGCCATGTGCCAAAATAACGTAAGTATATTTGGCGAAATATTATTTGCACCGATTCGTCTTATCGCTTCATCTTTAAAATACAATAGGACAAAAGTGTGAGCTGTTTCGGTAACGCACGTGTACACATCTGCATAGTGCAAACAACTAGTTTAAACACTTTTACGCATTGGCAATTTTTATCCAGTGGCGCAGTCAAGGCCATCAGCGGTCAACTGCAAAGTGTCCTTAAAAAACGCATTGGCACTTTATTTTAAACTTAATAATCTTAGTAAGAAAAGAGTCGGCAATCGGTATTTTACGAAGTACCTACAGTTTAAAAAAAATTTCTACACCCACCACCACAAAAAATAATTGAAAACACGTATTTTTTAAATTAACTTAACTCAAAAGTCACAAGGGGAAATATATATATACATACATATAATTTTTCCCGTTTTATGATGATATATATATATATATATGTCATCGGTGAAAATAATGTTTCCTCAAATATAGGTCCTAACCTTAGAATAATAACGCATAGAAACCCAACCCGCACACTCTAAGTGAGGCAAATTGAAGCGCGCCCAAAGGGCCTACACGAGCGGGCGGGCCTTCAGTGCTCAAGGTCAACTTGCACCGCGAACAGTTCCAGAATTTTAGCTAAAAATGACGAAATGTGCGGTAAATGAGTGTAAAAATACGTCAGACAAACATAAAATAGATACTAACATCACATTCCACAAGGAAGTAACGCGTTTCGACTTGTATTTTTATATAAATATTCACTAAAACCGAAAATTAACCTACTACTAAAACTAGCCTACATGAATTTGATTTTTGCCTCACTTGTGACAGTTCATTTGATATGAAACTATCATTCTATGCGTTATTATTCTAAGGGTCCTAACAATATTCAACAAAAATAAAAATATTTATATTCTATTTAGTTGTGAATGTTTGAAATTCTTGTATACATTATGTAACTATAGTGTTAATAAGATTTTTTTTTAATGTAAGACAAAAACTAAACTAAGTCAAACAACTAAATGTTTTCAGTAAACGTGTTACCAAAGCAGCCAAAATTTACATGTTTATTTAATAATAATATAAGTCAGAATGGAATTGTCATAGAACAAAAATGACACCGACAAATCTAAATATTATGTAAATATGGTAATAACAATACTATAGTTTTGCGAAGTTCATACAGATTAACAGGGAGTATACATATAAGGGTTCTTGTAAGACTGGTGTATATATTTTCATTGTAACTGAATTAAGGACTATAGGATAACTAAGTAACTAACTATAGGATAGCTAACTATTTTCACAGTCAGCAGTTTCAATTTCTAGTATTTAGTTAAACAATACCTATAAAAATATTTGTAAGTATAATAATTAAAACTTATTAGACGAGTTACATATTATTAGAACACTACATAATTATTACTATGAACAGCAGTACAAAATAAACAAAAAAAATATCGCTGTATTTTTGTAGTGCGCCAAGGTTTGTGACTTAAAAAAAATACCATTACCGTTTTATCTTTTTTTTTATCATCTTTGAAAATTTTAGATATTTGGTGTAAATAAACGTTTCATAAATCAACCAATTTTTTTAATTTACAATGAAATAGACTGCATGGTAAACCAACGCGTGTATCAGATACAGGCCCGAAATATAAAGCGTAGAACGGAACGCATTTACAATTTGACATCTCGTTGCGTCATGTATTTATTTTTATGATTTAGCATTTAACATCTTTATTTCTAATTATTTTTTGATTAATCGCAAAATATTTTGTTTTGAGTAGTAGCTAAAGTGTGTAAATAAAATTTTGATAGATATTTGTTTCGATCCATGCATATCTTAGAGGTTGTTTTTGGTGGCAAAAACATAGCGTTATTTGTGGATTTCGCATTGAATATTAAGCAATTATTAATGTGGGACAGTGTTAGCGTACGATAAACGTTTATTAAAGTTTCAGGAGACGAGATCGTGCAGTGCGTACCGACAAAAAAGGGCCACTTAATATTGTTTAAAGGCTATACATATGTTTTTAAAGCTAGGCTTCAATGTGGAGCGGAGCAGTGGTGTTGCTCTTATAAGCAGAAAACAGGATGTATATCGACTATAAATATGCAATCGGATGGTGTACAAGTGTTGAGAGATTTCCATAATCATGCAAAACCTATGTTTACTGAGTAAGTGGTGTCAATGGTTACATTTTCAAAAATTTCAAGGTATGTATCTCCACCAATTAGTCTTTATTCTCAATCGTATTATAGAGTGTATGAACCAGAATAACTAATCAATATGAATGAGTTATGATAATATTATTAGTGCGTTTTGTAAATAATGTAAAATATTAATAAATTTCTGAAATCAGGGTGTGTTGTTTTCATACCAAAATATTCCAGTCTATACTAGAATTTCTATGTGGTTGTGTACATATAATCATTTCAATAAAAAAATGACATTACAAAACTGTGTTTTATTGTTGCTAAAAATATTTTAAATAAATATTTTTTTCATTTAACATTGTCTTTCATTTTCTTATCAAATACCTATTTTAAATAGCTTTAAATGGGATAAAATGTAATGTACCATTAGGAAGTAGCTAGGTACATGTTTTATATTTGTCATTAACAAATTAAATATATTGCAGAGGACCAGTTACCTGATTGGATATCCATCTACTTTGCCAAAACAATGGAGAATGAACAACGGTGCAACATCTGTGAGTTTACTATAGCTACGACAGACAAGTCCATGGAACTGCTTGATCACATTAAAGAGCAACACAAAGAAGTATATGAACTGCATAGACTAAATCCTGAAGCAAATGTAGGGTTCCGCATAGAATTCTTACACCTCAATGTTCTTAAAGACGATGGTGATCCAAAAACTCAACCTGTAATTCTAGAAGAAGTCTGTGAAGCCACTACTGAAGAAATAGTTGAGCCAGTTGAAGAAAAAGAGCAGGAAACAGAACTTGAACAGCAGATTGTTCTAGTACCTAAACCTAAGAAGATAAAACAGATGAGTGAGAGAAGTGGTATGTATTTTGCTTTCACATTAGTGTTACAAGTGCAACCGAAGCCTGGAAAGAAGCTAGGTTGTCTCACTAAAATATAGTTAATAAAATAGAAACTTAAAATTCTTTGAAGGCATTTCAAAATGTCAAAACCTTGAATGCAATAATAATATTTTTTCAAGAAGGAATTTAGTTTACCATGAACACTAACAGTAACTTATTATAATTTTTCTATTACAGACAACCGTAAAAGAAGCTGGGTATGGAAGTATTTCAACAGACTCAGCAGTATATTTTTCCGTTGCAATTTATGTAACGTTGTTCTATCTATTAAGGGATGTAACACTAACAACATGAATAGACATATTAGAACTCGTCACCCTGGTATATTCAAATCTGAAACAATTAGGAAGAGACGGGATTCCTATGTAGATGCAGACTCATTGGAATTTGCAGAAGTTGACACTCCAATGGCTATTAAAACAGAAGAGATTTCTGCAAGTGACAAGGATTTTGATGACTCTTTTGGTAAGTGTATTGTTTTCTAATGTTGCAAATTTAAATGGTAGCCTTATGCAAAGACTGCATTGATCATATTATTATGTAGCTTGTAGACAAGGAATGCACATAACTCAAAATGGGGCTATGCATATACAAGTCTTTTATGGTCAGCACTTGAATGTGGGGTCGTAATATTTTCTCTGTCCTTTTAATGAATTCTCTTGTAGTCACTGTTAATGCTTTGAATACATAATGCTAGACTTTGGATAACAATCTGTGAAGTCAGTTTATGTTCTTTTGTGAGGCTTGGTGCACAAAAATATTTTTGATATTCTTTACATGTATACCTAATACAGATACTTTTATACAACATGAGTAAATACTAAGTATTTGAACCTCAATTCATAATAGCTCAATTATTTATTTTTCTTTTAGAATAAAAGCATTAAAATATTCCATTTCAATATTTCAGTGTCGCCGTCTTCACGCAATCGCCGCAGCTGGATCTGGCTGTACTTCAACCGCATTTCGGCGACATGCGCTCAGTGCAAATTATGCAATAGGAACATTTGTCATGGCGGCAATGCCACGGGCAACATGAACAGGCATCTTAAGATGATACACCAAAAAACCGGAGGTAAATCGCTATTATTAACGCTAATTTTTTTTCCTGTCGGTGGTCTAAGTCAGAAGTACCCAGACTTCTTTTCTCATACACCACTTTCAAAATTTAGCTGTTTCCGGTGGACCCCCTGCAGCTACATTTCTACCATATTCCATATTCAAATTATTTTTTGTCACGCCAACGTAGACCTCCATCGAGTTTCCCATGGACCCCTGGATCACTTTGGGAACTAAGGGTCTAAATAAATGGTTTGAATGTTATGCTTCAATTATTGAAAAGGCGTTAATTTTGATACTGTTAGCGCCATCTGTGATCGAGTAGCGGAACTAAATTTTGCAAACTAGTGCCATCTAGTAGAACTGATTTGTACTAATGTGTAATTAAACTTTTTGACATGCCGTTGCTTACTAAGGATCTATATTTTCTTATACTATTCAATTCTATTAAAGCCAATTTTTCCTTGTCTATTCATATACATGTGAAGTAACTTTTTTTTATAAATACCTATTACGTTTTTTATTTTCTTTCTTAATTCTACCTACCTTTCGCAGATGATCACACCTGGGTCTGGAAAGTCTTCGAGAGCAGCGATGATTTCTACTGCTGCAAGATCTGCCAGTACCAATGCATGAAGTTCAGTGACCTTGACAAAAGTATTTCATGCATACTACAACACTTGAAGATGGAACATGGAGTTGTGTCTGGAGACCAGATAATAACGGGCAGTGAGGAAATGGATGACGAAGTACCGAATGAGTAACTAGCTCTGTCACAGTGTTACCCATTGGTTGCCAAGTTTAATTTGGACCTTGCAATGCTAGTAGCGTTTTAAGGTCCAAAACGGCAACCTCACATTGGTGATAACAAAGGTAATATAAAATGATTTTCAATTGACGACTTTATTTACACCAAATAAAGTCTCAACGAGTATGTATAAGTTTTCTCATGGACACTGATTGTTTTTAATTTTCATTTATTTACCACGATTTGCATTAATTAAGTTTATATTTACTTTAGTAATAATAAAATTACCTTATAATAATAGTATTTTTTAAGATTGTAAAAATTTTAGGCTAATGTCGTTACTTTTTAATTTTTTATGTAAAATATTTATTTACTACTATTTGCGTCTAAACTACTTTTTTTTTAAATTTAATACGACCACATTTGTTTATGCACATACATAACGTTCTGATTTATACACATAGCCCTAAAGATGTAGTGGATGTGTATTTTTTGTCACACACACAAATTACATAATCATGTTTTGGTCGTCAACTTTTGAAAATTTAGTCTTACGTTTATTTTAATCCAAGTCAAAAAATGTAATATTTAGTGTTCAACTCTAGACATAGTAGTACTGTGCAAATTTTCTGCAAGAACCTACATTAAAATCGTCTAGTTGTATATGCCTGATATCACCTTATATATTAAATATAATTAGTGCTACGACCATGATGTAACTTTTACAATAAATAAATAAATTATACAAATGCGTATATGCGGCACTCTAATTTGCACCTAACACGCGATATTATTACTGTATAAAGACATCTATAAGTTCACCATTGATTGTGCTTTGGAAATATCCAGTTGGCACAGGATACTTCCAAAATACACAAAATGTTATTTATAAAAGCAAGTCACTTATTCTTCACTATTTGGCTGCCAAGACAAAATGTTTGTCCAGAGTTTATGATTGTAATAAATTTGAAATACTGCACGATGTTTTAGTATACAAACTGTATCCTTCACATTGCACATGAAGAGCCTAATTCTCACGCAGAGATAAAGACATCACAATATATATATTATTATTCATATTTATTTATTGTTATCAATGTAATATGTATATATTACAGAATATGTGAAGTAGTGTTTGTGTCTCATCTTGTTTAAATTTACGTGTTTAAAGTTAGGGTATGTAAACAAAGTTGCAAAAGTAGAAGTTAGGGAAGGGATAAAAAGAGCCCTTCTGGTTAGATAAAACTTTCAAATTGAACTTACCATCAAAGATCTCATTTGAGAGTTACATTAGAAAAAGTTACATCCAATGTCATTTAGAGTCAAGTATCTCATCACTAGGTGAAAACTGGGATTAGAGGGCATTTCTGTTATAGCCAGGGAACATTAGGTCTTATCATTACATTTAGGTATGCAGAACAAGAAAAACAATCTCATCAGTTTCGTCGTTCTGGCTTGATGGAAACTTTAAAATATTTTGGGAGATTTATTTAATATTGGAAGTTTCCGATTGTAAATTCCAAGAAAAACGAAACGTATATATTTGCTGCTTTTAACATTTTGTCAATGTCTTAGGGTCGTATTCTAAAACTCTATTCAATGCTCAAGTCAGGATTGCACTGGAAACACAAGCACTGGAAATACGACCCTAATGGCAAGGACTTGTGTATGATTTTCAGTGCTCACTGCAATACTCAAGTCCTGACTTGAGTATTGCAGTGACTTAGTGAGTTAGGACTTGAGTATTGAGTAGAGTTCTGGAATGCGATCCTAAGATATTAATTTTTGAGAATTGGACTTCAGGTGATTAGGATAAATTTTGAATTACTGAGTGTTGTTAAGCAATACAAATAAATACTTACCCAGGCTTATTTAGTAAATAGTTTCTTTTTATTGTTTTATAAAATAAATAAATAAATAAATAAATAAATAAATAAATAAAAAATACTATTTGTAAATTATGACATCTATATCCCTTGAACATTGTGTCATGTACATACGCTTCATGGTATATATTTTAATATTAATTATAAAAAAGCTTTATTGGAATCAAACATTGAAATATAACGTATATTTAAAGGTAAAACCACATAAGTGACATTTTCCACAAAAAGTCTAATTTGTACAGTTGTGGTAAGAAAACCACTACTTTTTTGCACGTGAATCTCAATAACAAAAAAGCTATAACTAATAATAATTGTATCTGCAGAAAGATGGTGAATTTCTTACAACTGGTACATAATTGGAGATTTTTTGTGGAAAATGTTACTTAGGTGGTTTTACCTTTAAGCAGACGATAATGCATGTAGTTTAATCTTCAAAACACCAAAAATTACTGTATCGTGGTACTTCCGAATTGCTGTATGAAAAAGATAATAGGAACTATTAATTTGTTTAATGTTTATTTTACTAAAATTATAAGAGTCCTCTTAAATGAGCATTAACTTTTCAATTGTTTATTACTGAACAAACTTGTTCATCTTAATTGGCGTTTGCTTATTTTTAAATATCGTTTGTAGTAATAATTTTTTATTCGTTCCATATTTGAAACTGTTAAGCTACAATTAAGTAGTTTATTGTTTAAGAATTTAGAGCATTAATTTATAATATATAGCAGGTATCGCATAATGTGTACATAGTTCACGCTAAATAAATATAACTTTTAAGTTGTGTTTTATTTAAGTGGATTTTTGTAATTTATTTTGTAAATTTTGTAACCATAGCACTAATGAATATGACAATTTTGTAATGTACAAGCTAAGATACGAGCCAAAAAACAAGTAGCGTGTCTTCCGGAGAATTCTCGCTCGGTCTCGATTATTCCCGCAGCTATTGTATCGTGTCTAGTTTGTACGTTATACAATTGACGCTTCCTGTCCGTGCTCCACTGACCCTTGCATTGGTCAAGAATCTATTTACAACTGTGCTATCATCAGCATACCCGAAGGTATTTGAAATTAACATATCGTTGATATGCAGCAGGAAGAGAGTTGCGGACACTACGGAACCCTGAGGGACTGCGGCATTTATCGCCCAATGTTTTCCTAAGAGTAGCCTTTTAAGACTTCGAATCGAAAGCTCGCTCAAAAAATCCGAGATCCAATTGCAAAGGTCAGTGGGAAGCCCATAGGACATAAGCTTGCTTAAAAGGCTGCAGTCAAAGGCTTTAGAAGTACCCAAAGACACTGCAAGGGCTTCGCCTTGCTCTTCTATAGCCTCGCTTCATATGTGAGAGCTGCACCTGCAAATAAAATTTAACCCAAGCTTGTTATTTTATTGGTTTTTGTCATTGAATAGAGAAGAAAAAGTGGAAAGCCGTGTCCAGCAGTGGTACGTATGACGGGTTAATGGTAATGAAAATAATACGTACCTAACCAATAGCCCCGCACTAGGGACACCCTGTATCGCGAGTGCCATGGATGCACATAGACAACCACAAATTACACCCAAAAGTCACGAGAGACATAAATATAGGCCTTACAAATATTTCTCCCGGCACGGGAATCGAACCCGGGACCTCTGCGTGGCAGTCCGGCGTGGTTACCGTTCGACCACGGAGGCAGTCAAACCAATAATATTATGTACCTACTTTGAAACAATGAAACAACTGTAAAACATTTATGACTAGTTTTATTCTTTTATACAAACATCAAATTGCACATCAAAAGATAAAACATCTTAATACTATATACCTACGTGCTACAATAATTTGGCAATTTACTACTTTGATAAAATTATTACTGACATACACAACCACGTGTAATCCAAAAGTATTTTGGAGGTAGGTAGGTTATGTGATATTCTTAAATCTCCTTACACAATAATATATCTAACTAACATTTATTTTAAGCCTATTACATTGGCTTTAGGGGATAACATAGTAGTCAAATTAAAATCTCAAGTAATACAAATACAAAATGAATAAGCGCTTTTCTCGCGCTCTTTGCTAAATATTCATCAATGGAGGAAATGAAGGGTACACGTTAATTTGCTACAAATGACAAGTGCAGTCTGCAGTGACAAACTGAACTGCATTTCTCGGCCGTTTATTAGTGGTCATACTAGCTTGTCACTATAGTGTATGATCTATGCTTGTCACACTGATATGACCCACAAGAATTGGTGGTCATATTAAGTCAGCATTAACACCCTGTAAGCAAATGTGCTTGACTTAAATAATAAAGTACAATCTCGCTCAAAATACAAAACAAAGGTTATATTTAATTTATCAAAAGGAATCCGACGTAAACCTTTTTAATGGCTTTAATCTGCGTAATTGGCTTGATACAAATGTGATTCTTTTATTAAGCGGCTACTCTGAAAGAGTGAGACGTTATTTGAATTAACGGTTTTTTTGGTTGAACTATCACCTACTTAAATAAGAATTTGTCACATTGCGTTAACTTAATTCACCTAGGTGCATTAAGTACACTTTTTGTGAACTTAAATCACTTCTTTTTACCGTTATACTATAATTAACACATACTCGTAGCGTAACGGATTCTCTACACTTGTCGCTTCCAACTTTATGACACTTCCATATAGTCCCCGTGTTTATAACACCGTTGCTTATAAAATTGTCTGCAATACCGTTCAATCTTTGTGATTTATAAATTTAATTTTGCCTATAAGTTGTTAATGCTGACTAATTATGGTCACCAGTACAAACAATTCTTATTGGTCTATTCAATATGACATGTTAGTATGACCACCAATACACGACCCATTTCTCAAATGTTATTTACGGTGTCGCTGCACACGAGTCACCGGTGGCCGCCACATACCTGCCACTAAAGTGGTCGCTGCTTACTATCTGCAGCTGCAACGTGCGACTGCGAGACTGCACTATCATGAGCAACGGATTATAAAAGTCACGGCCACCAGCCACCTGCAATGTCAATTGTGCATTTCTTTTTCCTTCGACTTCTGTCTCCATTACTGTATTGTTTGATTTCAAGTCGTACAAAAGTGTTTCTATAGCAACTGACTACTATGTCTTCCTGGTAACACACCCTGTATTGCGATCCTAGATTTGGTTTTTCTGCTTGATTCGACAAAGTCTCCACACGTACCTACTAAACATACGTTACCCAAAACGAATATGTTTAGTGATTAAACTGTTTTAATTTCGTAAAATTTTATAACATTTTTGCACTAGTTTAAGTCGGTACGTGAGCAAGACATTGCCAGATCCACATAGAAAACGTGTCAACAAATTCAATAGACGATTTCGTGGAAATAAAAACCATTCACAACTATAACCTTAAGGTTTGGTCTTTTCAAAGCT